CATCACTACGTTCTTATTAGTACTAATACAATTTCTGGTAAAACCTTGTTAGAACTCAATAAATACTTTATGAAGACGATCTAGTAGACTGTATGAATGATATAGTTTCTGCAAATATAGATCGCTGCCTAATTGTGTTGAAAGCATTTTCATATCATTCGCGTTCTACCTACTTTTCATTATCGAATTACGCAAGTTCAAGAAGTCTTGAACTACGTCGACCGTAAATTGAAATTCTAACGAGAAGACAGAAAGAGTAGAAAAGTGGAAATTTTTACATGTCCAATTTGCAGTCGTTAATCTATCCTTGTTCGGTCATCTGTCCGTTACTCGGATTTATTTCATACAAATATGAATCATTGATGTATAGATGTACGAGTACTTTTTTGTTCGATAATAATAAAATGTGCGTACGAAGGTAGTCATATAATATCTTAAAATCCCTGTTCTTTTCAATTAGACGTAATTCGATAAAACGGTTGACAATTGTTGCTTATGCAAGAAGCGCGACTCCCGGAAATCGCCCCCGTGGTTATACCTGAATAGGTCATGGGAGATGGACAGATATCGAACGAGGAATTGAACCCTTATTAAACCTGATCAATCTTCTAATTTATAGTTTAATAGTAGTTCTACAGTTGAGATATACGAGTTGACCTTTCACCTTATGCACTCTTGTGACTCATGTTCGACTGCCAGACCGATATGAAAAATTAACGCTGATTCGAGCGTTCACTTTTCATGAATAGTGCTCGATTAAACTTAAACTTTACCGAAAGTATATTAGAGAACAAGAGAGATGGAGTTCTGTTTATAAACGTTTAGCCTCGTCTCCTGTTCGTTCGATTTTAACTGGAAATTGATTCAGCTGTTTTTCTTAATTCGTCTTAATATGTATTAGTATATGCATTAAATTATTGAAAGATTGAGATAATATTTAACATTTATTCGAAATATGATTAGAGTTCTTCTAGAGTTTGGAGTTCCCAAAATCCAACCCATGTTTCAGGAACTCGGCTCAAATACTGATTTCAAGTAGCCACCCCTAGAATTGGAAATTTGGTGAAGGATCGTGAAATAAAAATGCCAACATATGTTTCATGTATTATCCATTTATTAATCAGAATTCAATCGACATACAGTTTGAGACAAAAAATTCTTAAACTAAATTGTAGTTCTTTGCTTGGTAACGTTTGCAAAGAATAGACTTTGCAAACGCTACCAACCCAGGTCTCACCGCGTGGAGGTGACTACGTTCGAGACCCGGACAGTGGACAATCCCCACTGCCCCCTCCCATATTAAATTGCCACTCTATTATACGGAACGAATATTGGAGAAGGATTTTATACGATTGCGAACAAGACTCTAACTATTGACTCTAACTATGGACTAACTATTGACTCTAATTGGAAACTAAGGTAAGCACAAAATGTCAGACTTCACTTGGGCACCAGAGTTCGAGCCGAGCAGGACCCTGCACCCGAATGACGATGCCTCAGCGCAGGAATGGCCTGACCACGACCAATCCGTCTCACGGAGCTTACGCACTGCACCTGGGAATGGAACAGGAACACCCCAGCGACTGACGAGACAGGCCACCCGAGATACAGGACCACAACTCTTTTCTCCCTCTGGTACTCGAGCAAAGTCTGACTGGTAAACTACTATTCGCGGCGCGGGTAAACTAAAACGCGAGCAAAATGGATTAACTGAAACGAGAGAGAGAGAGAGAGAGAGGGATGAAGTTAAATTCGCTCCGTTATAGGGTGGAATTTTGGAAGGCATACTGCACACTAGTACCGGTACCCACACACTCGTGCTCAAACATCAACCTCGCCCGGAAAGACCCATTTTCGGCCCTTGGTGCACAAAGTACTATTATAAAAAGGGCATAAAAAAGACCATCTTTCGTCACCTACAAAGCGGATTGAAAATAGCACATTCCCGCCCTAGGGCGGAAAAGACGGAATATGATATAATTACACCTTCGATGGCTTTTGTTATCGATTAATTTCTCGCCCGGCGTGTCAAAATAGTACTTTGTGCACCAAGGGCCGAAAATGGGTCTTTCCGGGCGAGGTTGATGTTTGAGCACGAGTGGCAGTCGAGGGCGCCACAGGCGCCCGAGATGAAACGAGCTGCTCAGAACATCATTCGAGCCTGGAAATGTCCATTCCGCCCGTGTCGCACACAATATTTTTCATAAAAAGGGCATAAAAAAGACCATCTTTCGTCGCCTACAAAGCGGATTGAAAATAGAGTTTTCCCGCCCTAGGGCGGTAAAATCCATTTTCGGCGCCTATAAAGTGGACCGAAAATGGTCTTTTTCGGCCTCGTGTTATGAAATAGTACTTTCTAATATTAAATCAAATAAATTAATTTACTTCGAGACGTTAGGAGATCTAGTTCACTAACATAATACCCAACTGAAAATTGAAAAAACTTATTATTTCTTCAAAATCACGAAGGAAAAGGATAATGATTAAATGATTTTTAACTTTTTGATTGGACTCTAATACAAAACATCTTGTTGCTAGAGGTATCTAAGTTATACGCATGTATAAAATTTCACCCAAATCCGTGAAAGCATAAAGAAGTTAGATACATCGAAACGTGTAAAAATTCTTCAAGTTATCTCAGTTGTAGATCGCAAATCGTGAAAAACTGCAATTTTTTATATCTCCAATCGCTTAAGTATAGCTCGTAGCAACATCAAACAATTTTGATGAAACTTTGTATATGCATGATAACTTAATTATATTTATAGAGTATCTCAATTATTAGAGATCCTAATAAAAAGGTCAAAAGTCGGGCCCTTATCATTTTTATTTCAGACTTCGACGAATAGCAATTTTCTTAAATTTCTGATTACACATCACCTAATATTTTATTTAACCTTTATTTTCAAATAATCAAGATAACCATTAACTTGCAAAGTGCATTTATACGACTTGCGCTCACTATAAATGTCATTAAAGATATTTACCTATGAATGGATAAATAAACTGCAATGTTGTGAGAATATAAAATCCGGTACGACCGAAGCTTGCCCTCATCAAACCTTGGTAGCTCATCTCGCCGCAGATGTTACCGCTCCTGACCATTAATATTAAAGAATAGTCAGTGAGAGCAGCTACCAGAATTAATAACATTATACCGAGGCCGAATCCAGCCTGATGTAGAGCATACGGTATCCCTGCAAATTATTAATTAATGTATTTTTTTAAATATTCGACTTTATTCCTTAGGCACCGAAATAATCCATAAATATACTATTATTATATACAAGGTGGTCCACCTAAATGTAACCATCTAATAATATCTCCTTCATTTGAAATGGCAGAAAAAATATTTATTATGTCAGAACGCATTGACATATTTACATATAAATGCATTTGTTGATATACGATTGCACGATACTATAGGAAAAATTATGAGGAAACTGTACTAAAAATTATTATCCAAAATACTTTTATTGTTAACAATACAAATATTGTGTACGAATTACAGCATAAGAATAGACTATTCATTTATTTTGTTCATAATTTTTCCTATAGAATCCAATCGTGTAATCAGATTTTAAGAGATTACAATTTTAGTTTTCTTAATTATTTGATATATTCAGCTTTTCGTAATATTTTATAAAAATCATTAAAGTCTTTAAAAACGAGTCTTAGGAGAAATACTTTCTATACTTCCATATATAGCGTGATCACCTAAATGTCTCCTTCATTTGCGATGATAGAAAAATATTTTTTATGTTATATAAATGATATCAAAAGATGACTGCTTTGCAAGAGTTCTTTTTGGTAGAATAAGATTTGAACAATCTTAATTTAAATTAAGTGCTTATTGTTTAAAGAGCTCGCTCATAAAAAATCGATACGTTGATCGTCTTTTACGTATCGTAATAAGTATTATTCATATTTTATCTGAATTTGTATTAGTGTTCTTTACACATCCAAGAAGGAAGCATGATAAAATAAACTTCTTAAAAACTAAAATAGAATTTAGAACTTATTTCTGGGCAACCCGCTGAAACCAAGACTTTTTTCTCAAAGTCATTTTGTTCTACGTTTTTAGTATCACTAATATTTCTTTGTTGTAAATGTATATTTCTTCCCTTGGCATATTATAATTGACATTGAGAAGTATTTAAAAATATTAATGACAGGATTTGAAAGTAATTTCTGATTCCCTAAATTTGAATTTTTGAATTAAAATTTGAAGTAAATTTCCACCGATATCACTTTTAGCAACGACGAGCGAGTAGTTCCAGGTATGTAAGTTTGCTGTTCTAAACTTGAAAACCTAATTGCTAATACAAAGCATTCATCTTTTAATACCATTTACATTGCATAAAAAATATTTTTCCGATCATCGCCAACGCAGGAGATATTTAGGTGACTATATTTAGCTGGATCACCCTCTATACAGAATGGAACAGTAACTTTGTTTACCTTGAATATGACTGAAACTGAGTATTATCGAGAAAAATCTTTTCAACAAAAATTATGGAGTTTAGAGGCGTGCAGTCGATTTTGATCTTGCTTTGACCCTAGGTCATAGTTTAGCGTTTTTAAATAGAAACCTCCATTACTTATGATGGATTTCAACTTTAGGGTGAAAAATAAATACTTTTCGTTTCTATTTATTTTTCGATTTATTCGAGCAAAATCATAAGCTTATATTTTAAACAAATTTTTCATCTTGAATTCGAACCGTACAATTGTAATGTTATTAAATTATGGTATTCAATTGATAGTAGTAGATCATTAACAAGAGGTGTACAATATCAATTCTCGTACGACTATTTGCATGTATTACGTGTTCAAAGTGTCCATTATTCACTGATCACGAACTTAATCCGCCTCGTACGAATAGATCAATTGTAGAGATACAGCTTAAACAAGCGTGTCTAATCCAGTCCATGATATGTTTTCGTCATTGACTCCTTATATATATGTATTGTAGAACATTTACATACGTGTAAATAGATTTGAATAAATACTTAAACCAATATGCAGCTTCTGTTTATCATTTATAACTATTAGTTAAGTACCATTCTTTGATGTTACTTCAATCATTTGTTTTTTCTAAATGAAAATACCTTAAAAAAAATACAAGTTTTTGATTGCTCCCTAAATCAGGTATAATAAATGTCTCAATTACTGTTTTTACTTACTAGTTTAAAATTGCATATAAAATATAAGAAAAAAAAACAGAAATTAGGATATCTACTACATCTAAAAACCAAAGAACAAATCGAAAATCGATAAGAATAAGAAGAATTTATTTCTCGCCATGCAATCAAGATGGTTTTGTACTTATATTAAACTGAACATGTATTCTTATGGAATTTAGTAAAATGGCACAATATTACTATATTAAATTGAAAAAATACTAAAGACTAACTAATGTCAGCATTACGAAATTTTCTGCAATAATAACTAATTATAATAAGAACATATTTCATCAATAAAGAATGCTCAGAAGACAATAAAATAAATATTGTTATAAATACGCAATAAATTTGCAACTGCTCTGAAACAGTTGAAAATGAGATACTTACAGTGATAGCAAAACTTCTCGTCACATAATGTTAAAATGGGAAGAAAATAATAGTTGATCAACATCAATGATTGTTTCATGATATTCCAATTAAAATATATCTGCTAACACGAGTAGCTGTGTAGGGTGGATTCAGTTTACTCCGTAGTTACCCTGAGATAACTTTAATTCAGTTTCTCTCACAACTTTACCTAGATACACTCCTTATGGTTGAGAATTGTCCATGAATAAAAATTAGTCCATTGAACTTAGACAAGAAATATTGTGAAACTTTAATTGCTGATACTTCACTTTAATAATAATGAACTGATTTACTCCATTGTTAACTCAAATTGATGTTCCAAGTTTCTACTATCTATTATCTTCCAGCAATTTTGTGTAAATCGATTCCTAAGGGACAACAATCGTTAATAAATGAAAATATGCCTAATTCAAAAAATTAAATTCTGATGAAAAGTGTCGTAAAACTTCAATCGTTGATAAATACTTCTGTTAATAAGGGGAGAAATTACTTCATCTTTGCTCAAATTAAAGTTTGAACTCTATATTTTAATGTAATTCGTCTCGTAATTTTATCTAAATTCAGCATTAATGAATAAAAATCAACCGTGAATCCAACATTGTCTAATAAGAAAAACTGTACCCCAATCAAAAATCTTGTTCAACTTCAATCGTTCATAACGTTAATAATGATCGAATTTAGTGAAACTTTAGCTCAAATTATACGTTGAATTCTCTACTTTAACTAAGTATCTCTGACAAATTTTAACAAATGAATTCGTAAAATTCGTAAAAAGCAGATTACTCTGTAAATCAGGTATCTGGAAACAGTTTAATAAAAAAAATCGAAAATTCGATAAGAACAAAAAGGATTTACATATTTTTCACTGTGTAATGAAAATCCACCATAGAAAACGAGAATGACTATTTAAAAAAAACTGAACAGAGTCACCCTCTAAATCCTACAATTTTTATTCAAAATAGTAGTTATGTTACAATGGCATTCAAGAAATCACTACATAGTATAAGTCCACAGATAGTACCCGACTTTCTTATTGAAAGCAGAAAGAAAATTTTAAATATGAGTGTATAGCTTGAATCTGTCCCTTATGCTTCTTCTCTTCTAAGCACTCTTCTTCTTGTTCTATTTCATGTACATTCTATAAAGCAATTTTTCCAATGCTTTTACTTACAAACGATGACGCTGACTTTTTAATGCAAGACTTTTGTGAATCTTTTACATGATATATTCGCTTTTTGTAAACATTGCAGAAGCAGTTATTTTGCTATAATTAAAAACGTTAATTTTGCGAAGGATCAGTACAGAGCCCATGATGCCCATGGGACGACCATGACAATGGGAGGGAAGACATGTCAAAAAGTGAAATTTTGAGAATAGACATTCTGTAATTTTAACTGTCGATAAATAATTATAATAATAGCATGAAGATATACTGAAAATGTAAAAAAGGAAAAAACTAATTTTCACTATTGCTACCTTAAAATGTTTTTTGTTTAAATTGTACTCAAGGTAGACAAAGTTATCATCTCACCCCGTATAATAAATTCTAACTGAATAATCGAAATATGTAAATGTGTAGTGCTAATTTAATAAGCACATCCGGTAATTTCCGATGAATCATTTGGCTCATGAGAAGTGCAGGCATCGAGCCAATAGTTCATTTTGAAAAAATAAAACTGACACAGAACCTGAAATTGAAACAAGGCCAAGGTTCAGCCGACATAACCAGCCTGCAGGGGCCGTAAATTGGCAAACGCAAGAAAAGCTTTTCCCATTTTTTGTTTAATTCTTTAATCGAAAGTGCTTGTATAATTTAGTGCCGATTAATTCGATGTCTAAGGAGAATTTTTTTAATCCATCATATTCGAATTACCGATGACACCACTGCCGATAATGGAATTGATGAAATTAAAACTGGCCAGCGGTAGACTATTGAATTTCCCGGATTCTTCCTTCTTGTCCTGTAAAATCGCATTTTGTACTTACACGTTCAATAATCAAAAAGAAATTATTTTGATAAATTACCATAGCATGCAAAACTTAATTATAAATTTTTTGTCTCTATGATTGTTTATACGTTACTTAATATTATGTCACAAGGGAAAAAGAGTTAAAAAGAATGATAAGAAAATTGAGAAAGGATTAATAATGAATACGGAAAAGTCAAAAGTTATAATAATCCGAAAGGGGGCAAGGAAAACAAAAAATAAGTGAATGAAAATGGAAAACACAGGAATTAGAAATGGTCAAGAAATTTTTTTATTCAGATTTATTGTTTCAAAAGAATGAAAATATGGAAAAAGACATAAGAGAAAGAATTAAAAGGGGTAATCTATTATTAAACCAAATGAGGAAGAATTTAAGAGAGCATAAATTCAATAATAATTTTGCAATTAGAATGTTTTTATTTAATTCCGGGGGTGGTATTATATGGAGTGGAATTGTATATAACGAGAAAGTGGTAGTGGAGCGAGTGCAAATAAAGTGTATAAAATGCACCTGAGGATTGGCATGTTCGTATATCATAATAAAATAAAAATTAGGACGCACTAAAAAATGGTAAAATTTGTGGAGAATCTGAGGTCTGGAGTAGAGAGAAAAATTGGAATCGATTGCTTGAAGGAGAAGGGAAAGGACAGAGAAAGAACAAGAAGTGAGAGGGAAAGGCAAAATAATTTAAAAACAAAAGAATTAAGTCAGGAATGTATAGAACAAATTAAGGAGGTTTCATAAAATAGTGAAATCTCGATGTAATTTTAAGTATACAGGGTGTGAAAAACAAAACAGGCCACCGGAATAACTCGGTTGTTTTTAAAGATAGAAGAAAATGCATTAGACCAAACTTGCTCGCTATCGAGGAGCTCATAATCTGATGTTATTAATTTTTCTATAGGTAAAAGCGCCAAGGAGATATGAAGATTTTTTATTTACGATCTAGTAAAGTGTTTCAAAATGAATGCAATGACCTATTCTAAAGATCATTCAAGGTCACCCAAGGTCAACTCCAATAGGAGATGAATTTTCTCAGAGCACACTTCGAATACTTTTTATCTCCACTGATTATTGGCATATCGCTTTTGTAAATACTAATGAGGATCACAGAAAATAAACAAATATTCAATCACACTGTACGCTTCTCCGTATCCTCAAACGTTATTAGTAGTCTGTCTATCGATTAGAGTACGGCTTCGAAATATTCAATCTAAGTGTCCGATTTTTTTAAATGCGTTACATGATAGTAGAAGAAGTAGAAATGGTTATTATTTACGGTGAATGTCGTAGAATTATGAGGGAAGCGCTATGTTTGTATGGTGAAAGATTTCCGGATCATAACAGACCTTCACTTTCTGTCTTTGCAAGTATTATAAAACAGTTCCAAGAAACCGGAAACGTGGATAACAAAACACGCAATCTAACCGAAAGAATAACTTAAGATAGGAATTCAATAAACATTGTAGCAACTATAATACGAGATCCACATATCAGCACGAGAGTGGCATCAATATTGTCGAAGTATTTTGCGAATACTTCACGTCAACAAATTTTATCATTTCCACATTTGATTTCATCAACAATTAAGTGAAAATTATTTTCAAATGTGTACAATTTTGTGAATGGGGCTTAGGAAAACGGCAAGACGATGAAGTGTCCGTGAACAAACTTTTGTTTACAGATGAGACCACATTTACAAACTACGGAGCAACTAACCGTCACAACATGCTACTAGTCAGAAGATAATCCACGATGGCTGAGAGAAGTGGACAAACAGAGACCTTGGTCTGTAAACGTATATTGCGGCCTTCTTAATGGTAAAACAATTGATCACATTTTACCAGAATTATCGGCGGACATTTCACTAGACATACGACAATCCATGTGGTTCCAACAAGACGGATGTCCTGCTCATTCAGCATGAAATGTTACAGAATTTCTGAACAGAAGAAGATCGCTGGATTAGTCGATCAGGAAGCCATTTCCTGACACCTCTAGATTTTAATTTATGGCTAAAATTAAAGGAAGAAGTGTACCGCGAAAAATCAACAACTAAATTTGACATGCAGGAATGTAAAAATGTACTTGTTATGTAATAGATGCGAATGAAATTTGTCAGGCAGTGTCAACAGTATTGCAATGTATTAAATTATTATGTATCCATATTCAAGATCGTTATTTTGAACACTTGTACTAGAAGTGAGTATATAAATAACATATTGCATGTAAATTATCAAAGTATTCGAAGAGTCTCTCAGAATATTTTAAGAGGGATGGAACTGAAGGGAGTCAAAGGTTAATAACAAAAACATGGTATGGAAATCTGGAAAGATGTAATATTAGGAAGAGGAAGGATGAAAATGTGACCTGTACAGGGTTGTAGATATTAAATTATCGTATTAAAAATTAACGATTGAATTATAATCGATGTTTGGAGTATTCTTTAATTGATAAACTGTTGATTGACGAATTTTTTAATCAAGAAAGTGTACTTTACAGTTCAAACTTTAATAATCAAATTAAAGAATGGAAATGTAATTTTCATTTCATATTTTCAGCAATTAACGATTAAATTTTAATCGTTAGTTTAAAAAAGTTCTATTAAAATTGCATTTCCGATCTTTAATTTGAATTTGAATTCTTAATTAAGAAGTAAGGTAATAAATAATTAGAACTTAATTTTTAATTACAGAAAGTTCACTTAAGAATTAGTATAAACCCGTAAAAGGGAAATATAGGTACATACATACATACACTTAATAATTAGTTGCTAATTAGTGTTGCATTGAACTAAAGATTTTATCGGTTTATTTGCGACTCTGGACCTGTCTGGGAATAAATTCCGTACGTTAAAACACTTGATGAGGAATTGTAAGGACGTAGGAAACGGTGAGAAGGTAAATAGTAGAAGTAGTTAATGGAAGAAAAGATATGAAAGTAGACGACTGGCTAAGAATAACTGGAGAAAGAAAGAAAAGTGAAATGAGGGGGCAAGGAAACATGAATAGCCAATGACCGAAATTTAAGTAAGAGTTAAGGAAGAATAGCAGATTATAAAACTTAAATTACATAGAATATACAGAGTGAGTCGCCTAAGGTAAGTCACCTGAATTACAATTATTTAAATTCAAATATCTGTTAAACTATTAACTTTTCAACATACATACGTCGGTATTTTTTTATAAAAAATGTCTAGCATGTATAAAAAAATACTGTACTCCATTTGAAAAAACAAAATTGACCTTCAAATTTCATAAGCACCTCCACCTGCAGAAAAGTTATATACTCCACGTAACGTGTCTTTCGATACCATATAATTTTTGTCTGAAACATTTCTTCCTATCTCAGAGAATGTAGAAGTTTGTTCGGAGGGCTTCCGTAAGGCGACTCACCCTGTATACATGTTATATTTATGTCATAGACTATAGACATTACAGACACATATGTAGATATTAGAAACGGATAATAAGAATGAGCGTGCAGAACGTTCACTTCAGATAGTTCAAGTAGAAATATAGTATATATAGGTAGGACATTATAAACCAAATTCAATTTAGTTGATGAGGGATTGCAGAGAAGTAGAAAGAGGTATAGGAATAGAAGAAGTCGTAAACGGAAGAAAAGATAAAATATTGGAAGACTAGCTAAGGAAACCGGAAAGAAAGGAAAGAAGGAATAGTGCAATGAAAACGGAAAGGGATAAAAATAGCTAGAGAACAAAATTCAAGTAAAAGCTAAGCAATAAGGAAGAATAACAGATTATAAAACTTAAATAACATAAAATATATATTATATTTAGATCATAACTATCAGATACAGATATACAGTCACTTCCATTAATATTCGGATACTTCAGAATAACGTTTTTAATATTGGATTAATCAATTTGGTTTTATATTACAAAAATAATTTTTTAAATTGCTATTAACCAGCATCACCTAAAAGAAGTAATAAACACGATTTTTAAGTGCTTCATTTGACTGACTAATGAAAGTTTAAAACATACATATTATAACACTAAGTAATTCATATATGCGCAAAGTTTCATTAATATCGGTTGAAGCATAAAAATGTTAGAAGCATTAAAATAAGATAAGATATGAAAATGTTTCGATTTATGCCATTTATGGCCGACAATTATCAAAACCTCTGATTGATCTTATCAATTTTCGATTTTTAATAACTCGTACCTCATAGTGACGTTAACCGATTTTTATGGAACTTTGTATACTACAAAAAACATGTTTAAAATTTTCATTAGTAATCGAAATAAAGAACTTGAAAATCGTGTCTCTTATTTTGTTTCTTCGTGATTCTGACTAATAGTATTTTTTATAATTTTCTCCTTTACATTACCTAGGAAACTAAGTCTCCAAACTCTTAAAAAAAATTAAGTTGATGGGACTATTAAAAAAATTAGTTCGTTTTGAAATGTCCGAGTATTAATGAGAATCTCTATACATATATAAAAATAGAGAATAGAATAACGAGAGTGAGAATGCAGAATGTGTGAATGGAAGACATGAACGGTTAAGATAGAGATGTAATAGTAAGATATTATAAACAAGTTGAATTTTCGTAACCGTGAGGCTGAAAAAATAAAGTATTATTATTATAATAATATTGTTTTAAGCTAAAACAGAGTAAGCACAGAAATGCGGAATGTAGCAATAGGGAAAAACATTTCAATAACGGAAATATTCTGCCAGTACGGACGCTGTACTGTCGGTGGAATATTCGGATAATGGGAACGCAGATAATGGCGATATCATTGTACTCGGATTTCATTCGGAGTCGTTGAATTCTGCCGGCTGACGTTCCGCACTTCAATTTTAATTAACAATTACAGTAACACGCGACGAAGCTCGTTACGCCGGAGGCTCGATCCTCGGTGTTACGTCTCTCAATATTGCATTAGAAAATGGTAATCTTCGTAGTGTGAATAAAAAGTTGATTCATGCAAAATTTATGCAGCTATTTGCTTAGTACTTCTTACCCCGACCAGTTGCCTCATATCATCGTAAGATTCCTCTGAACCGAGACTGCCACCCTGTTCAAAGCCAAAATTAATAGTAAAGTTGGCCTTAGATACACATTTTAATCATGGCGGGATTGAAAACTGTTCTTTACGTTCGCATAATAGTTTCAGATACAGTGACTCCCATTCATATTCGAACACACTTCACAATAGAATAACATTTTTGATGTTAGATCAAATAAATACATTTACTTAGAGATGTTAGGATGTCCCTCTCTCTAGTTTACTAATATAATATTTAACTAGAAATAGAAAAGAATTGTTATTTCCTCAGACTCACGAAGGAAAAGGAGAAAGACACGACTTTTAACTTTTTTATTCGACTCTCTAATACTCCAAGTTTTAAAGTTTAAGACATGCTTTTTGTAAATCTAAGGAGATACAATAACTGTAACAATCCTCCTTACATACTTGCAAAACCAGGAGTAAACAGAAGTTAAACGACTTTAATAGTAATTTTATAGTATTCCAATTAAAATATACGCCAATATTAAATGGGTACCTCTAAAACAGAATAATTGGCTTACATGTGGCAAACAGAATAATTGGACCAAACAATTTAACTTCCTGTAGGTTGTTAGAAAGTTTAGTTTACCATACAAGGTGTAACAAAAGATGCTACTCGTCTATGTCTCGAATAAAAAAGTAAAAGATGTGACATTTAAGTCTTTTATTAGGGTCCCTAATAAAACTTTCGAATATCCTATTTGTAGATCTAAGTAAATTATAAGCATGTACAAATCATCATCAAAATTAGTGATGAAACAAACTTCTCTAGAAAGCCCAATAAAAGTGTAAAAAATCATATCCTTTTCTTTCTTATTCGACGAATAGTCATTTTCTTAAATTTTTGGTTACATATTATACAATAAACTAAACCTTGTGACATTCCAAAGAAAATTCAAATCATTTGATCCAATTGTAAGGCAATTATTCTGTTTCGAAAGATGTCCCCTTAATATTGATCCCGACTGCTTATTTTAATTGGAATACGATAAAATTACTATTATAGCCGTTTAACTATTATTTTCTTTTCATTTTGACATTGTGTGAGAAGAATTTATTTA